CCCTCTTTGTGTCTCTGCCCCTGTGTCGCCGCCCCCTCTCTGTGTCTCCACCCCTCCCCTGTGTATCCACCCCCCCATGTGCTGTCTCCACCCTCTGTGCATACAGTCTCCGCCCCTGCATGTGCTGTCTCCGCCCCATCAGTGCCTCTGTTTCCGCCTCCCATGCCTTTCTCTCCGCCCTCCCGCATGCCTGTCTCCGCCCCTGACGTCTCTCTGTGCCCCCTCGCCCATCTGTCTCCGTCCCTGCCCGTTTGTCTCTGCCCCCCCACATCCCTCTCTCCCCCTGCCGTGGCCATGGCCCCTTTCCCTCCATCTGTCTCTCTTCCCTTCTCTCCCACTCTCGGTTTTCCCATGGGAACTTTTTTCCTCTGACTCACACTCCACATTCCCTGTCCTCACTCTCTCCCAGGCTTTTAAAGGAATCAAATGCAAAGAACGAAAATACTGGAGCCCCTTGGATGCTTCTGGGTACAGAGGCGATGAAAATTACTGCCCGGGCTGCGAGTGGGAAAAGGACAGAGAGCTGTAAGCCCTGTATGCCCGGTAAATCGCTGCCGCCTTCGCACGGGCTAAGCTGGGCTGAGGTCTCGGTTGTTGCTCATCCCACGGAGCATTCAGGAAACGATTGTTATGGTGATGCTGCCACCTGGCGACCAAAGTGCGGTGCTGAAGCGCAGGGACTGCGAATGCGCAGTGGCGCGCTTTCCCGCCTTCGCTGCCGCCACCCAGTGACCAAAATTCAGTACTGCATGGCTGGGGCATGCGCATGCGTAGTCACGGACCCCGTGCTGCCACTGCACGATCAAAATGCAGTACTGCAGCTCGCCTTCAGCGCATGCGTGTTGGCGCCCCTGTCCTGCAAGCTCCACGCCGATAGTAGGAACGTGATCCTGCGGTGCCCGTGGTGTTTGTAGGACTTTTTCCATCTCTCTCGCTCTGTCTTCCTGCTGCTATATTTCTATGTCCTTCCGCCACCCTGCGTGGCCGTGGAGGGGCCAGTGTGAGCCAAGGGAGGAGTGGAGTGGTCACTGGGCGAGAAGGTGAGCGGGGGCTGAGGGATGGACTGGTGAGTCCCAGGCAAAGCCCCAAGAAGGGCGGTGAGGTCCATGTGGAGGTAGGGTGGAGGCACCGTGCCATCTCGGAGCTGGGGGCAGTGGCTGCCCAGAGATGGGCGGAGGAGGTGGCTCTGTGTTGGAGCCAGTGGTGTGGTCTGCTCAGAACTGGAACTGGGCAGGGGGGGACTGCGCCATGTTGGAGACGGCAGCAGAGACTGCCTGGAGCCGG